GGGGGGTCGTGGTGTACTTTGGGGGCTCCGTGGGGTCATGAGGGGGTGGGGGGTGGGGGCTCCGTGAGTCATTTTGTCCAAAAATGTCGCATTTCACCCGATCACCAAACACTCATCGGATATCGACGAAGCTCGACGCCGCGGTCACGCCCAAAGTTGTTTCACGTTCCAAATCGTTTTTCTTCAGATTGTGAATGTTTGCCCGAACGGACCATAGTACGTGGATGATGGACACGAGACGAGGCAAATGCGGAGGTGGTGGCCTTGGAGGAGCGTGGGCCATGGCCGGGGTGGGGGATGTGGACAATGGTGGTCGGGAATGCAACGCCTTTGGTGGGGTAGGGCGGGGGGGGGGGGGGGGAAGGGAAGGGAAGGCGCACGGGCGGGTGAGAAGGCTTTTTTTTTCGGGGGGAGAGGGTCGGGCGCCAAATTCACTTGCGCCTCTACGAGGACGTGGAGACAATTTTGCGTAAGTGGTGTTTTATGTGTTGCAAACATCGTACAAACCGGAGAAATGCCTGAGTGGTGTCCAGTAATATTTAGTGTTGTTTCGATAATTATTGTCGCTTTTCATGGCGTCGTTTGTTTGGGTGTCATTCCTGCGTTTGCATCTCTTGCGCGAGAAAATTCGAATGTTGCAGACATGTCGAAGAAGAGTGCAGATTTCCAAAGGCATTTTTTTTATATCGTTGGGCGTGTAGGGTAAGGGTGAGCACGCTCCCCCCCGTGCCGGGGAATTTTTTCATGTCATAGTTTCGTGATGCAAGATGGTAACAGAGATTTTTCTTTTTTTTCTGACCTCATGATATTGTCTCTAGGGAGACAGTATTGGCTGAACAGCATCATGGCATAGACCGTCAGCTCCCACAACCCGAGATAACCAAATCGGGAATGGATCCACATTCAAAACGCTTTTTACCTTGTATTTGACTACGTTCGCGTCGTGAGGAGACGTTGTTTCCAAAGCATTTACGAATGCAGACGGTGATTGGTTATAAACACAACGCCAAAAAACAAACAAGTGGTCCTGCTGTACGTGTCTACAAAAAAACGAACTTTGGTTGTGCGCCACACGTTCGCTCTGCGTGTCCCCCCCCCTAGTCATCTACGAATGCACGCGGTGGTTTGTGAAAGACACAAAAAATAAAAGTGGTGCTGCTGTACGCGGCGAAAAAAAACATCGATCATCAAGCGTGCGCTACGCGTTCTCCATGCGTGTTCTACACGTGGTGCACTCGTCAAACACCCACCCGACAAAAAACAACGGTACGGCAAGTGAAAGCGATCTGCCCTCTCCCTCCCCCGCCCACACACAAACGATCGTACAACAACCGCCACTAAAACACAATCGATCGCTCTAGCACATGTGGAATCGGGGAGGGACCGCGGGNCGTCAGCTCCCACAACCCGAGATAACCAAATCGGGAATGGATCCACATTCAAAACGCTTTTTACCTTGTATTTGACTACGTTCGCGTCGTGAGGAGACGTTGTTTCCAAAGCATTTACGAATGCAGACGGTGATTGGTTATAAACACAACGCCAAAAAACAAACAAGTGGTCCTGCTGTACGTGTCTACAAAAAAACGAACTTTGGTTGTGCGCCACACGTTCGCTCTGCGTGTCCCCCCCCCTAGTCATCTACGAATGCACGCGGTGGTTTGTGAAAGACACAAAAAATAAAAGTGGTGCTGCTGTACGCGGCGAAAAAAAACATCGATCATCAAGCGTGCGCTACGCGTTCTCCATGCGTGTTCTACACGTGGTGCACTCGTCAAACACCCACCCGACAAAAAACAACGGTACGGCAAGTGAAAGCGATCTGCCCTCTCCCTCCCCCGCCCACACACAAACGATCGTACAACAACCGCCACTAAAACACAATCGATCGCTCTAGCACATGTGGAATCGGGGAGGGACCGCGGGCTGTCCCTCAAAGGGGACTCTTGTCCCATTCAGCCATCTCGGTTCTAATCTTCGCTGTGTTTTTTTCCGGAAAACCGACCATTTTCAGCGTCGCTGCCTGCCGCCTCTGCTTTGGCTTCTTTTGAGATTTTTCGTGGCGGCTTGGAAAGATTTGAACAAGGTGTCGAAAAACGCCAACTTTGCGGTCTTTGCATCTACGATGTCCCGCAAGGAAGGTGCTGCGGCGGGGGCGGGTCCTGACGCTGGCCGAGATAGCTCGCTTTATCCGCAGGGTGGCAGTCCAAGTCCCGACGCCACTGAGTGCATGGCAACCGCGGCCGTCTATTGCACGCTGCCGGCGTTCTTAGGCCCGTTTTTCTTGGCCTTGAGGTGGGCGTTGTCCTCCCTCGCTCTGCGTTTGGAGTCCTCTCTCCTCTTCACGTCAGCAGCGGCTCCCTTGGCACCGGAAGGGCCGGCGGCCGCCCCCCCCACGCCGCTGCTCTCCCGTTGCACGTCTTNCTTTGCGGTCTTTGCATCTACGATGTCCCGCAAGGAAGGTGCTGCGGCGGGGGCGGGTCCTGACGCTGGCCGAGATAGCTCGCTTTATCCGCAGGGTGGCAGTCCAAGTCCCGACGCCACTGAGTGCATGGCAACCGCGGCCGTCTATTGCACGCTGCCGGCGTTCTTAGGCCCGTTTTTCTTGGCCTTGAGGTGGGCGTTGTCCTCCCTCGCTCTGCGTTTGGAGTCCTCTCTCCTCTTCACGTCAGCAGCGGCTCCCTTGGCACCGGAAGGGCCGGCGGCCGCCCCCCCCACGCCGCTGCTCTCCCGTTGCACGTCTTGGGGCAGGAGCCGGTTACACACGGCGAGGATCTGCGGGTACCCGGCCATGACCTGTCCAAAGTAGTAGGTGTCCAGGTTTTCTGATATTTTGACGTTCAAGGTGTTTCGACCAGGGCGAGTCGGGGGGGGGGGGGGGAGGGGCGATCGTTAGACAGCAATAATGTGACATTGAGCGGAAGCGGACGTCACCACGAAAGTATATCGTCGTGCTGGAACTTGCAAGCGGAATCGTACTTCCCGCTGATGTCATTTAGAGCGCACATATATTTGTGGGAAGAACATAATTGTGTTATCGATGCATCGCCAACATGCAGAAAAATCGGGTTGTTCAAAGGCATATTATTGAAACCCTTCGTCATGAGGGGAACCACAGGAGGTCGGGGGGGGGGGGGGGNGTGATGAGGGGAACCACAGTAGGTCGGGGCGGGGGGCGGGGGGGGGCTGTACTTTGTCGGGCGTTCACGACCAACAGAGGAACCCTTGCACATTACATGACCCAAAACTAACAAGGGCGAAGAGCCCGAACAGTACTCATTTCTGGACGAACCACGTTCCGAATGACCACGACCGGAACTGTTTATCGCTGCAACATGACACCTGTTGGTACAAGCAAGTCCCCTGCTTGTGATTGATTGAATTTTGCAGTGGTGGAGCAATGTTTGATCGACGTCAACTGCTGTGTTATCCGGCCTATTGTTCCAGCATCGTCCCAAGCATAGTACGGTGCACGCTACAGAAATATCATTCAACTACATTTCAACACTAAAGATCCCGACGCGTGGACCGACCACTGTCTTTTCTCCAGGAGTACCCCCCCGACACGTGCCGTTATAGCAGACCTTACCGCGGCAGAAGGAGTACCATTCTTCGCGACTCCCAGACTTCTGCTCTGGTGGCAGTCGCGATAGTCCTTGTTCACCTCTTTCACCATGTTCATGAACTTGTCGTACGAAATGTCGGGCTGATGGACTATGTTCGGGTCGATCTGTGCCGCGGTGATGTGCTCGTGGTCCTTGAGGTGTGTGACCACCTGCAACAAGGCAAAAGGGCGTTGTTTTTGTGTATATATATTCTTTTGGGGGGGAGGGAGGTTGGGAGATTCATGGGGGAACACCAGGCCGATTGAATTTGACGAAGCACATCGCTTTTTTTTTTCAATACCTTACAATGAGCGCTGGCACACGTTCTTGCTGCTGGGTAGGACCTCAACAACCCGTTGTCACACAAAAGGGTTCATCCCCTTAAAGCTCCTACCCACCCTCCTGCGGTCCTTGCCTTCGACAGAATGCGACGAGAGTGCACACTAACTAGCGCTAGGACGGGCGCGAGACAAAAACTCACTTCGCAATAAAATCTCCCTCTCGACGGCATTCAAACCCCTGACCCTGGGTGCTAGATTGTTGTGAGCATACGAACTAGACTTGAGCGTAACCTAAAAAAAATACGTTCCTGCGGGCTAACGGAAACGGTATACATTCAGACCTCACGTCCACGTCCGTGTCCTTGAAGTCCTTCCATAGCTCAAAGTATACCGACCGCTTGTTCCCGTCTCCTTATTGTCGAGCTCCGTCCTAGACAACTGCGTCCTGCTTGCGGCAAGGCGCTCCCTGAAGCGCTCGGCGACCATCAGCTCCACCGCCAGGGGAACGCAATACTTGCTCTTCCTTCGGCCGGCGGTGGTGACGTCGGCCCCTGACGCGCGGTCTTCAACCGCTATCACCTCCAAAACGCGACCGGCGAGGTAGGCATTCTCTTCCCAGTCCATCATTTTCTTCGGGTTAATGCTCGCCCCACTGCCAATGGCGGTACGCACAGCCAAAACCAGGGCCTCCGGAACCTCGACGGTCTCTGGTGACGCCGTAAGGGGCTTGGAGACCGGGGTCTCACCTGGAAGCACGCAGGTTGACAACGATGGGTGGAGCAGAGAGGTGTCATGAAAAGAAGCGGTTAGGGTTGGAGCTTTCGTGTGCATGGCATTGGTGCCGATGCAGCCGTAGGGACATGCACCAAAATAGCGCGAACTATCACCTACTACATACTTCTATGCTTTTTATTATTAGCATCGACCGCGCTAACCGGCTGACCAATGAAAAGACGTCAGTCTTAGTGCGGTTGAAAACACAAAACACTTCTATCTACCATGAACTGGGACCCCGTGAGGGGGCAGCATGTGGGTGGCTAAACTATCCTTCGGATCAAAACAGAAACAGCAGCAACAGAAGAAAACTGCACCCGTCTACCAAGGCTAGTACCTAGTACTCGAGTTCGTTTAGGAGTACTTTCACCAGTATCCTCCTTGTTTTCGCTACCATCATTCTGATCCTCATTTCGACAAGAAGAATCTCTGGGCAGTTCTTCCCTAGCCCTACGTTTCTTGTTGTGGGGAAGGTCATCTGGCTCAAACCCTTTGCTCTCTTCCACTCCTCCATGTTTTTCTGCTCCATCGTCGTCATCCTCCTTTCTCCCCTTTCCCTTTCCTTCGTCTTCGTCACTCCCAAAAGAATTACCCTCACTGCTATCGTTGTCGCAGAGATCTCAACCGATTGGCCCTGGTGGAAGTTGGTCGATCAGTTGCCCATGACGTTTGAACACATCGCGAGTTCGCATCGACAGAAAACGAGCTAGCTCGAAGGTAAACCGTCTCCGAATCCTGTTATCAGCATGAAAAGCTTTCAGACGCTCTTTCGTCTTCAAAATTCCCCCGGCAATAAGCTTCGTGCGCCAAGTGGTTGGCGATAGCAACGATGAGTCGATTGGTGCCTTTGCCAAGACCACCATCGTTGAAAAAGCAGCAGAAAGAAGGGTAGTGTGTGTGTGTGTGAGAGAGAGAGAGAGACACACAGACAGACAGATTGTGTACAGAGAGGTATAGTCCGTCCGCTTAAATTTTTCCACGATTGCCTAGAATCACTCGGGAATATATTGCGAGCGACTGACGTACCCCCTAATAACATACCTTATATCGTAAAAAAGCTCTATTTCAGGCGGATCGTTTGATCGGAGCAGATATATATATATATTTTTTTTTGGTTGGCGAGAAAATCGCGATTCCGTCGAGATTTTGCCAGATTTTGTTATGTTTTAGTAGGGCGTGTGTGATGTCCACTTTTTTTTTAAGACCGGTTTTGAGCGTATCACGCCGAGGGCTACGCGGCGACCCAACTCAACTTTGTATTCGCTGAGATACAACGGAGAAATGGGCAAAAAGACTCATTCCAGCTGGTCCCAGAGTTATGTTTTTAATGGTGAAACCAACCGATAGATTTCGAAAAACTCGACGGATTCGGGCGAATTGAACTTGCACCCAGGACCGTTTTTTTTTTTTTTGCGAGCAAAAATTTTCTGAAAGAGTTATGGCTCATCAAAGTTTGGTGCCGCCACACACACCACACACCACACGCTACAGCAGTCACATAGACCCCACTGAGGGCCCATCCAAGCCCATTTGTGCAACCACCACAAAAAACTATTCCACCTCCCGATCTAGTAGGGCGTGTGTGATGTCCACTTTTTTTTTGAGACCGGTTTTGAGCGTATCACGCCGAGGGCTACGCGGCGNAGGGTACTTTTGTGCAACCACCACAAAAAACTATTCCACCTCCCGATCTAGTAGGGCGTGTGTGATGTCCACTTTTTTTTTGAGACCGGTTTTGAGCGTATCACGCCGAGGGCTACGCGGCGACCCAACTCAACTTTGTATTCGCTGAGATACAACGGAGAAATGGGCAAAAAGACTCATTCCAGCTGGTCCCAGAGTTATGTTTTTAATGGTGAAATCAACCGATAGATTTCGAAAAACTCGAAGGATTCGGGCGAATTGGACCTGCACCCAGGACCGTTTTTTTTTTTTTTGCGAACAAAAATTTTCTGATGAAAGAGTTATTATGGCCCATCAAAAGTTTGGTGCCGCCACACACACCACACAACACACCACGCACCACACACCACACGCTACAGCAGTCACATAGACCCCACTGAGCACCCATCCAAGCCCATACATGGTTGGGCGTCCCCCCGGTCAACGAAACAAGAAGCGTGGCAGCTGCCAAACAAGAACAGGTGGTCGGTTCGGCGCGAAAGCGGCCGCGTCACCATCCCCCGCTGCGGACACTTCACCGCCACATGACCACCACGACACATGTTATGAAGGAGACGAGGAGGACCACAGCAGCAGCCAACACAGCAGCGACAGCAGTAGTCACTATGGCAGCTGCAGCTCGGGGAGCTCGGGCCGTGTCAAGCGTGATGGCACGAGCAAACGACAGCGCAGGCGCCGCCGGCAACAGCAGCGAGAAAAAGAAGAAAAGAGGGGCTTTCGCACTCTTTTTCAGATGTGGGCGCCGACTCCACCGCCTCCGCCCGGCAGCACTTTCGCCCCCACCTCTACATAGACCGAAAGCTAGGCGGGACAGTTTGAGGACGGGGCGGTTGTGTTCGAGGTTGAGGGAGGTGGAGACGACGGTGACGAGCTCTGCAATTGGTTTGGACAAGATGCCATGGAGCAGGTGGATGTGTGTCTGGACGCGTGCAGTTCCGCGTCTGAGGGGCTCATCTTTGGGGGATACGCTGGCGACTCGGCTGACTGCACGTCGTCAGAAGAGTCTAACATGGAGTGGAGCGACGTGGAGCAGACGTTGGAGCAGACGCCGAAGCAGCCGTCGCAGGGAGCGTTGCAGAATCCCGATCGGTGCGCAGATCGAGATTCCGCCGCACAGCGGAAATCATGCCGCATCCAGCCGGCGGCTACTGCCGCGGCGCGGGCGCGGAAACCGCGGCCAAAGGGCTTGCCAGCTGGCCCAGGAAGAGGAAAGAAGGAGAAGCAATGTAACCCCAAGCGCAGGAGAGTGTCTCGCAAGGAGCAACGAAGGCGGGAGAGGAGGTCGAAGAAATCCGGGAGACGGCGCGCAGTGCGGGAAGCGGCGCGTTTGAAGGTGCAGCAAGAGCGGCTAGAGATCTTCGAACAGGCGAAGGGTATTCTTTTTCCGGTGAGCAGCGTTAGGAGTAGACACAACAATGGTGTTCATGACTACTGCTGTGTGGACTTTGCAGCTGTGATGTTGCCGCATCTGCTTTCATTCGTGGCAAGGGTGAAAAAATATACCCAGCTTTGCCGACTCTCTCGTGTGTGAGTGTGTGTGCGAAGGCAGGGGCCTGTTTTGTGTCGTTTTGTGTGTAGTGACAGCAGGTGGTGCGTGCTTTCATGTGATCACAGCCCCATAAAGATATGCCTAGATAAAAACATGGGTTGTTGCGTTTTCTAAGTTGAAAATTCACGCACATGTTCAAATTGGTGGGGCTGCTGCTGCTGTGCGTCACGTAAAGTTCTGTCGGTAAATATTCGCCTTGACGTGACAGCCCCCTCCCTGTACTGATTTGATCAGGCGGTCCGGCACTTCCGGCTGGAAAACATCGTGGAGAACCCGGACGAGGCGCTAGCAACCGACAACAAGAAGGGGTACGCCATGAGACAGGCGTCCGCCATCTTGACCTTCGTGTCGCTAGAGTAAGTTATGTTTTTCGCGTGTGTGATGGATGCGTGCTACAGCAGTGGGTACGCAAACAGTTTACAACCCGCTAAATTCCACGTTGTCGAATACGCATCCCCTGAATTAGTCACGACTTTCTTGCCAAATGTGTTTGCGTTTGGCGGACCAGGATTGCTGATGGACTTCACCCCATCAAGCACAGCGAGGTTGCGGCGCTTCCGGTCGGCGTGACCGGTAAAGTGGTTCGGGCGTGGGTGCGTGATTTTGTCAACGGCAAGAGGTTCAAGGTTCGCGTGCGGGACTACGCTGCTCGCAACCTGCTCTCGGTAATCAACGACGAGGACTTTCGCGAAGAGTCGCGCGAGTGACTGGACGCCAAGATATAGGGCCGCAAGGAGGGGGAGCCGCAGCTACGTGTTCGGGACTTGCAGAAGTGAGTATGGAATGTAAACAACGTCATGGTTAGGATTCTATTTCAGAGTTTGTCGGTTGGCGATTAGCGATGCATGCTGGTGTCGAAACATTCCCACGATATGCAATAGATGTTTACATCCCAGGTCGTTGAAAGATATGCAGAAGAACCGTGTGTCGATTGTTGCACAGCAACTTATGTTGCACCATTATTTTTGATCAAAATCGCAGGCATCTCAACGACACCGCGCTCAAGCCTTACATGGAAGAGGGTGCGCGGGGAATCTCCCTCGACACGGTGCACAGATGGCTGCAAGACTTGGGCTTCCGTTGGCGGCGACACCAAAAGTGTGTCTACGCAGACGGTCACAACCGCCCCGACAACATCAGAAGGAGGATGGGTTACGTGACGGAGATGCAGGAGCACCAGAAGCGTACAGTCAAGTGCGTATTGAATTTGTGGTGTGATTGGGTCTGCAATGTTTCCGATTTCGTGTAAGGTTTCCACCGTGGAACCGACAACTTACTTTTTTTTCAAGTTTAGATGTCGTTCAAGTTTGAGCATTTACGCGAACATACAACCTTGCGCAGGGACCTCTTGTTTAATCTCTCGTCCCGCCACCTTGACCTGCAGGCTCGCAAAGATCGGTGAGGGCCCGGAAGCCGAGGAGGTTGCTCTTTGGCCTGCGGTGTTCGAGAGTGCGGGGGGCGATCCTCTGGGGGAAGGGAGCACATGGATGCACGTTCAGCTCGAAGGCGAGTGCGGCTGGGAGAAGCAGCATAACCTCAGGACGAGCGGAAAGCTCGACGAGCTTCCGGTCGACGAGAGACTCGAGCTGTGGTGCACGGAGCGGTAGCGTGTTCCAGCCCAACCGCTGCCGCCCGGGTTTCGCTTGCTGGAACCGAGGGAGGTGATGGAGGTGGTGTACCACGACGAGTGCGCCTACAAGCAGAACGACAGCGGCGGGGCAGCGTGGGAGAACGATGAAAAGGGCGCAGCGATGAGCCCGAAAAACGAGGGCGCCGCTGTCATGGTGTCGGACTTGATCGGCGAGGAACGCGGGCAGCTGGACATCCCCGCTGAGGTGTACGCGATCATGCAGGAACACGGGACAATGCCGAAGGTATGTTGTATAGGAGTATCGTAAATATAGGTTGTATCTGGAGGGCTGACGTGGAATGTGGAGTGTGCCCCTGTTCCCGTCGATGAAAATTACTAAAGGTTTTCAATGCTCCCTCGAGCGAATACCGAACATGCTGACTCTTGTCCACTCTGCGTTTTTTGTTTGTGGATGCCTGCTCCTATCCCACAGATGGAGATTACGGATGAAGGAGCTACGCTCTCCCGCAGCGACACCTACGTCGGGCGTTGCAAGCCGTGCGAAGAGTACCCCGACGGCAT